TTATCGTTTTTCTAATAGAATGTGGCTATGTATGAACCTTTTAGTTTTCGTGTTATTGGACTTTAATTTTCTTCGATGTCTTGCATAGTGACTATTCTGAGATATCGTTTTCCTTACGTTGCTTTATTTAGTGATTATAAAATTATTAAAATATTAAAATAATCGTTATATATTTCTTTTTGAGAATATCATTCTTATGTATCAGACAAGTCGTTTGATTCTCATCCTATTTGTAACATGTCAATGTGTTAGAAATGTGTTATCTAAGATTAATGTTGTGACAATAAATATGATAAACAATAGCTAGTGAAACGAGCATTTGATCAAAACTTTATAGGCTTTTCTATTCTTCACAACAGATCTTTCATTTCAACTAGAATACTAAAACTTTCTTGCTCTCAAAAACATGTGAGAGAAAAAAATAAATATTTAGTTCATAGCACAGTATATATGAGAGTGGATAAGATGATATAGATTCGATCCCTGTCTGAAATGTTTCTTCTTTTCTTTTTTTCGATTCTTCTCCTATTGATCGTTTCAATATCTTCTTTCGTTCATGGTCAGAACTACTCATGTAATCTCAAAAAGCAAGGGAGAGAATTGATCACGCTGTTTATGAGTATACTATTTTCATTATCACATTGTTTATTTGTCAGAGCCACATTTCGGATGACAGGAAACAATGAAGCACGTGAAGATGCTTGCTCTGTCAAAAAATATTTTGTTACTTGATTCAAGATCGTAGTACAAACGTATCTTATAAGATAAGAGGGGCGGGATAAGTTAATAGAAGAGTGTCCTGAGTCTTATAGTATCGTCAAATATCGTCTCAATTGCTGTGGTAGTCTGATTTTGATCTTGATCAAAAGTGCATATTAAAATACAATACAAATTCAAACTTAGATTTTATTCAAATTAAACTTGATAATTATGTGAACTCAGAAATCTCAAGAGAATTTTGTTGACGAAAATTTTTGGAGTGTGTCATCAAACCGATGATATATGACTAATTAGTTATCGATATGGTGTAATATCATGCTTTTCAAATAATATCAACATTCGAATGAAAAAGATAAGTACTCAAAGAGATTGATATCCTATGTATCAATCCGAATCTAGTATCTTTTTCAAATCTCTCTCACAAGAGAATTACACCGATATCTTGCAAACGCTCTCTTTTGATCTTGTCAACACTTATGAAATGCAGATTTTTGTTTAAGCTAAAAATCTTGAAAATGAGTCAACTTGTTTATTTTTGTGGCACACATTTCTAATAAAATCTTTTACTTCGTTATTCTTGTGATACACATAATAACATTATCAATCGTAATTAAACTAAGAACGTCTAGTATTCGCCAAAAATATTTTCGTTATTTTTTACTTGTTTAAAACTTATGATTTTGGTCATCCATTTAATGAAAATAAGTCATCAACACCACTGATAGATATATCTGAACTAATAGCTTTGCCAGATATAGAGCTTAAAATAAATAATAATTTCAATATGAAACACTAAGTATTCAATATAATGAAAAATTTGCTATATATATACGGACGTGACCAGCTGACATGATACCTCAATTTGCTTTCTTTCTGTTATCAGTTAATTACCTAACTATATTGAGGTCAAATTATCACTCTCATTACCAAACTACTAAATTTAAAATATTAGCTGTTAATGGCTGTTTTATACGAAATAACTCAGTCCTTGAAATTGTGTTCTATCGTTTTGTGAGGGACTGAATAATTTCGTATAAGACAGTCATCAACAGCTAATATTTTAAACTTAATAGTTTAGCGATGAGAGTGATAATTTGACTCGAATATGGTTAGGTTATTAACTAATAATAGAAAGAAAGCAAATTGGGATATCATGCCGGCTGCTCATGCCCAGATCTATACATCAATATTCTAATCCACATCGACGCCCATCCGACTCTCATTCATAGTCATGGCTACATCCAACTTCTTCATACCCATATCCTTATTCAAACACGTGGCATCTTTCGCAGTTCTTTATATTTCAAGAAAGAAAAAAATTAAACAAGACTCATATGCAATCGCTATTCGGAAGTTAAGAATAGAAAGTAACGAAAGAAGTCATTAGTATGGAGCTTGTAGCCTGGTAAATTGTGAGGAATTTTAGACATCTTTCCTTTCGAGATATTGGGCTATATCACGCGAAAAGTGTCGACAGTCGCGTATTCCGAGCTTATAACATCCGAAGCCCATTATGAACGTTTGGATGTGACTTTTAATAAGTTTTACTCTTGTGTTGCTTCGCTGAACAGTTTCTTTATTTGGTTTCCATTGATCAACTTTGATTTGTATAATTAGATCCTGCTCACCGTTCCTCTGTTGTCGACCCCTCAAATGCACCTTAAAGACGGGACCAAAATCCGTCTCAAATACAACAAAGCCGTGTTCAAATAGTCCACTATGATGGTAAAACCGAATAATTACCATATTGTCGTCCAACTCAGAGGCAAACTCGTAACCAGTTATTTTTTTACCATTTAGTTGAGCATTCAAGTAACAGTCAGACCCAACAGACATGACAGGACGCTCGAAAGCGCCAACGGTTTTTCCTGTTGCGAGCCAAGTGTTTTCTGATGGCTTTCGATCAGCCGTCGTTGAAGATGGCCCATAATAAGCATTTTTGGTATCATAATAATCATCATCATCATCGTCACTAAAGCTTTCTGGCCACAACATGATAAAGACTGAGTTGGTAACTTTCACCGAGATGAAAGAATTCTTGCCTGTAAACAAAAAGTTGAAGGAAACGGACGCAGCAAGAGCAGTCAATCAAAAAAAAATCAAAAAAAAATATTGACACAGTGGAAGAAGTAGAAGAGATTTCGTAATTTTTTTGAAATATTTATTGAGTATGTTGGAAAGACGAGTAACCAAAAACAAATACTCCATATGAATCACATCGATAGAATTTTGTTTAAATTGACATGAAAAAAATGCAAGATAATATTTTCACATTTTGCATCATACATGTGAAAGGCAATAGGGTCGGTATTGCTGTAGGTGTGAGTGCGTGCGGACGTGAATGTGGATGTGATTGGTGTAGATGTGGCTCAAGAGAAGACTAGCACCCACAGTTACACCAAGAACCACTCCACCTACACCCAAAAATACATCGGCGGCCGCCCTTGCTAACATCCACGCCTACACCCTGAAACTGGCCCCTGTTCAAGCAGTGCACAATATAAATCATTGGCTTGTTTGCTTTGATAGAGCAGAAGGGTGTGGGTGTGTGATATCTCTATAGCTACAACCTAACCCCCACCAACACCCACACCCACATCCAGTTTTTATAAAAGATTAGTTCTTATTCGAGTTACGAACAAAATTTCTTCTTCTTCTTCTTCTGTACTTTTATTTCATAGATAGAAATCTATCCTTTGAGAAACTAATACTCATTTGAACTTTGAACAATTTCAAGAGAAACTTTATGAAAAAATGTGAGAGATACTTCTCCAAACTAAAAAAAATTGTCGATTGAATCGAAGAAAATCGATATTTCTCGAAAATAATTTTTTTTTATTAATCTGATGATGTGTGTGAACAAATCGCAAGATTGATTTAATGTCTCTCGTTTGTTAATCATCCTTGCTCGTTCGAATGACATCAGGGAAAGCTTCCGATTAAACTCAATTTAACGCTAGATGATAAACATTTTTCTCTTAGAAATCATCTAACATAACAAATATCATTAGAATACGGATTTTTTTTCTAAACTAATCGATTTTTTGCAAATTAAAAACGAGATTTGATTGAGAACTTATTCTTTTCAAATCTCATATGAAATAAAACAGATGAAAAATTTGATCTTTATCCAACGTTTGTCTATCTCTTTAACGAACATTCCAACAAATATTTCAAAATAAACTCAGATAGAGTAAATACTATTGAAGGTGTTAGACTAAGATTTGTGTGCGATCATTAAACAAAGATATTTATCTCTGATAGTTTCATTATTCGTTTATATTTTTTTTTCTAAACTATCAGTTAATCAGCTCTAATCCACAATAGATTAATCGAGAGAGAAACATCGATGTCTACTCGCATTTTTGTTTCAGTAATTTTCTCCTTACTTGATGATATCTGAACCAGAGTCAACGATTCTATAACCGTTGTTGACTCTAAAACAAACAACAAAAGTAAGATTTTCTTTTGAGATTATTCTGTGCAAAGTACTTTGTCTTATTTGTCTCTTGAACAACGATCGATGTTGTTGTTGTTCGCATGGCTGGCGCTGAAGAACAATCAAATAGAAGAAACCAATGAAAACTTTTCCCCCAAAATCTGGCTTATATCCTTTATAAAAGACGATTACATTCGACGATATAAATCCTTTTGAAAGTAAATCAGTAATGTCTAATGGCGGAACAGATAATGCGATATATCTCTTACGTAAAAAACAAAAGATTATTAAAAAGCATCGGATAAAATCCAACAATCTATGTAATGAAGATTTATCTGAAATTAGTGAACAAATGTCTCAACAATGACACATTTCAATGAGAACTTCGCCATCTAAGGTGATCCAGAAAAACAAGCTATATTCATCGAACAACAGTTGTTGATCACCTATTCAAATCTGTAAATAAGACGAAGAGAATATACATTTGATCATCATCATATGAACATAAACTATTATCACAATGGTGCTCTTCTAGTCATATTTTGATCTTTACCTATCTGACATATGTACATAACAATCTTTCAGCTATTTATTCATAAGACTAGTCTTTGAACAAATATTTTTCTAATGCTTTTCTTTCTTCTTCTATTTCAAATTTTAATCAATATTGAAGGATACAAGAATAAAAGTCATTGCATAAAGCAAAAATTCAACAATATATTTATGAAAACATGTTGAGAGATCTTGATTAATCCAGATCTTTGATAAACAACTATCATTTATTCACTTAAACCTTGTAGATAAAAATAAACAAGAAAAATATGCCAGATTAACATAAAATTCAGTTCTTTGCAGCTTCTGTAACTTTTGGTCGTTTTTGTGGTTTTTCTTTATTATCACCGTCATAATCACTTTCTGGTTCTGGTGTTTCATTTTCTTTGCGCGCACGTGCACCAATTTCATATTCCAACGTACTACGTCCATCACGAAATTTTTTTCGAGATTGTTCATAAGTTTCAATTCTAATAAAATTTTCATTTATTTTTTTTATTAAAACCAAATACCTAACCTTTCAAAAAAACCTTCAATACATTGAATTGCATGACCTTTATTATTTTCAATTAATTTCGGTATGCTCCGGTTCGACAATGACGCACTTCGTATACGACTGTAAACGATCGTATACGCTCCCTATACGACTGTAAACGGTCGTATTTTAGCGGTTTCCATAATCCAGTATTACGGTCGTATATCACCGTGACAGTATACGGACTCTGTAAACGAGAACCGTAAACAACTGTTTTTTTCTCAGTATATCACCGTATTTCTCCGTATACGATCGTTTACGAGCGTGGCTGTTCGATCTGGGTGAATTGAATAATTGCTGCTTGAGTAACAATACGCGCCATGCCGACAAAGGCCTAAAAGAATGTTTTTTGAATGAATTTCAAATAAATAAAAAGCATATTACTTCATGTTGACCAATGTTAATCGCCCAAGCAACTAAATATCCAGGTCAAGGTTTACGGAGTTCATATACAGACTTTGTAAACGACAATCGTAAACGACCGTTTTCTTCTCCGTGTATGGCCGTATTTCTCCGTATACGGTCGTTTACGACCGTGCCTGTTCAACCTGGATAATCAAATGCTTGTTTACAAACTAAAAAGCTGTTTTGTTTGAGAATTTCTTTTGATTTATCAAGCTCAAGACATATGCCGTATTGTTCAAGATTCGAACGATTTTCCTCAACGAATGGAATCTAATAACAAAAGTCAAATAAAATCATTTGAATAAATTATTAACAATATAAATATGTTTATGTGTATCTTTATTATAAGCTTCAGTAAATTCTACAAAAATATTCAGATTATGTAATAGTAAAATATTTTCTGCCTACTGTAATTTATGTACCCAGGTTGAACAAGCACCGTCGTAAACGGCCGTATACGGAGAAATACGGCAAAATACATGATCCAATATTACGATCGTATATCTTCGTGTCGTTTACGGAGAAATACAGTGATATCCGGAGGAAAAAACGGTCGTTTACAGTCCTCGTACACAGAGTTCGTATACGATTTTTGTTTTGCTCCGTACTTGTCCTTATAGGATTGTATATGTCCGTATACGGTCACGACGACATACGACCGTAATATTGGACCATGTAAACCGCTAAAATACGACCGTAAACGGTCGTTTACAGTCGTATACGAAGTCCATAATCGTCGACCTGGATATTTAAAACAATATGCAGTTTTAGCACGATCATTAGTAAAATCAAGGATCACCATTAGTTTTTCGTGTTGATCGTTGTTTTGTTCATCATTTTGATCAACATTTTTTCTTTGTGCTTCTTCAAGTGTACGACCAGAAAAGATCTGAAACGGGAAGGTTTATCATTCATAAAAAATTGCAGTTTATAATTTACGTTTTTCGATTCAGGATTGATTGGTTCTTATTTTTCGGCCATTTTTTCGAACAGTTAATGTTCATTGTATTTGTGTGAATATATGTGTTTACTAGGGCGAAGAGAGATTTGCATGTGTTTACGATAATGAAGAATGAGATTATTTTATCTGAAGAATTAAATGAAATCAATTTCAGAATGTTCTCTACATATATTAAATAGGTGGCACGCATGTTTTCTCTTTTCTTTTCTATCATTTATAAATTATTCTCTAGACTGAGAGAACAGGCCCTAGATAATGGAAATTTATCTGTGTCTATATCCTTCTGGCTGACTGTCTGTGTCAAGTTGATTTGAACATATAACTACGATTAACCAAACTTATATATTGTTTATAAGATATCATTTTATCATGTCATTAATATTAACAAAGGCCTATTTCTTTCTTGAATATCTATTAAATCATCTCCTCTGTGGTGCTAGAATTTCAATAACAAAGAGGGAAACGAGGAAAGAAATTATTTATTCAAATTGTTTTATGAAAATATTTGACACTGAAATTGAATAATAACACTATATGGTGAAATTCCTTTCATTGAAAACGTAAATTTATTCCATTGATCAGTTGATTAAATGCCAATAATTTCAAAAAATCCTTTCTTTTTTATTTAAATAAACTTTAAGATAAAACAAGATTAAGTTTAAATCATTTACATTATAACGAGCTTCCTTTGTTTTATCTTTACCATTTTCATAAACTTTTATTTCTCGATTTGATACTGCAGAAAAATTCGAACCTCATTGTCGATAAAATTTCGTTACTAATGGACGAAATCTATATAAAGGACGGGGGACGTTTTAGGAGCATTTCGACCGAATTAAAAAGTAAAGGTAGATTTACCTGAAACTTTCATCGAATGCTCGACTATATGTTAGTAGTCATCGCTGAAAATTTGAGCTTGGTCCGTTGAACTTTTCCTTTACTTCGATCCATGAAGAATATAGACTCTAAATACGTATACGTAAAAATGCCCTACAGGGGTAACTTTGTGGACCTTCGTTCTCCACTATTCGATTCAGACCCAGAGTGATTTTTCTAGGGTCGCTAGCAATCAGCATGGGCTACAATATTGCAAGGACGTGAAGCTCAGAAAATCATCGTAGAGGGAGCATTGGATACCTTTGTCCTGCAGTATTGAAGTCAGGCTTGGAAATTTGTTTTAGGAGCTATAGGAATTTTTGAGACGTCTGAAACAGTAAATCAGTAAATAAGAGAAGTATGTAGATGTCCACTGTGTAAAGCAGGATGTGGTAAATTATCATGATAGTGTACTAGCTTGTGTTATTAGTGGATTATGACTCATGCAACTTTGTGCGGGGCTTGAATAACTGGGCTGGCCAATGTGGCATGTTAGTTTTAATTTGACTATGCCATTACACTTTGAGGGGAAAAATTTTTTGTAAATGATGATCGTGCATGGAAAAAAACTGATGTTGACAGATATCTTCTTGAATCGATGATCACTTAGTTATAGTGAGGAAAGTGAAGCACTAATAGTCTCAGGGAATCTGTTTTGCTCAATGTGTACCAGAATAGAAGACGTTGGAGCATGACACAGAGATATATGTTGTCTTGCAGCATATTTGTATGAATATTAGAAATTATTATACAGTATATTGAGATTCTGCTTTTGAGTTGCATGAGAAATTGAATCTGCCAATTGTTTAAAGTTTCATTAGAATGACTGAACAATGTAGGGGTTGTGATTAATCTAAATGATTGCTCGCGTGATATCCATAAGTAAACAATCACCATGTGTGAAATTCGCTGTTCTAGAGAGAGAAATAAAAAAATGAATTTTTTTTCACTCATCTAGCATTGCGTCATTTATGCGAAAATGCCTGTCGAGTGTATTTGTTGTGATGCTCATATGGAGTCGAAGAATCGGTATCCAGTTGATGGTATTGCAATGCGTCTTTTTGTCTCAGCACGAAAAAGCATGGCTTTACCAAACTCATGATAAATTGATAATGCTTGTCGTATGTGTTATCAAAATTGGCATAATAATGCTGAATTCGCTCACATATTGAATCGTGGTGAAGAAGAATCAAATGGAATGATTTTCGACAGTGGCAATGAGCTAAGATATGGTAAGAGCATATGTATGATGGTTTATCCCCATTATTTCTTTTCAGAATGATGATGAAAATATTAAATCAATATCAGACACCCCATAAGATCTTCCAATAAATACCAATATCGTCACTTTACCATTGAATGTGGCCCTTTCATCTCATCAGTATGTTTTAAATGAAAATAAATTATTAACGTCGAGTATTTTCCTTTCTAGACAATGTTCAGTTTGTCGAAAATTTTTACAGCCATCATTATGTGCGATCTTTGAAGAAGATCGAGAGTTTTTATTTATCAAAAGTAATATTTTTAAACCACAAGGTAGTCGATGTTGTGAAGACCATGTTTATAAAGAGTGGTTGCGTATTGACGCTTTAAATGAAATTCGTCCGTTGAACATTGCACAAACAAATTTCTCTTCCATCAATGTGATTACATGGTTTAGCAAATTTCGAGATTACTGTCACTCCATTTGGTACTTGGATTTTGGCATTCCATTCATAATGTCAGATTTTGATTGCTATAACTTAACCGGAATATCAAAATTAAACTTTGAACACTTGATCGAGTTGCTCACCGATTTCAAAATTAAACATTCATAGAATCGATCAGTTTGAAATGCTGTTGGCTTGTTTTTAACAAAACTGAGATTAAGTATCAGCAATAAAGTTCTCGCCACCATTTTCCAATATTCAAATTTCAGGACTGTTTCTCGAACTCTGGCTGCTGTACGTGAAACTATGATATCTAATTTCGTGGCTTATTACCTTGGTTTTAATCATATTTCTCGTCAAGGTGTCATCTATAATCACTCTTCTGCACTTGCTACTCGATTATTAACGCACCAATCAGATACAGCTATACTCGTAATCGATGGTACCTACTTATTTGTACAGGTTCGTAATATATTCAATATGTTATGACTTACAACTGAATAATTTAATTGGAAAAAATCAAAGCGATTCTATTAGTTCTTGATCTGTGTTTTTCCTCACTGTAAGCAAAATTTTAAAAAAACAGCAGTACCTACGATCCAAAAATTGGCAATTCAAGAAAATTTAAGCAATTCAAGGAATTCAACATATCCCCATATCTTTCAATTATATCCTCTGGAAGTATCAGGGAAATCAAAGAATTCAAGCAATTTTAGCAATTCAAGTAATTTAAGGAAATAAAAGGAATTCAAGAAATTCAACATATCCACATAACTTTGAATTATATTCCCTGGAAGGATGTGGGTGTCACTGTGGACCAAGATGAGAAGGACCCACACCTACACCCCACATCCACACCAACACCCTATTAAATTCGTTGAATCTCTAAAATTGCTTTCAGTCTCTTGAATACCTTGATTTTCTGCGATTTCCATAATTCCATGACAGTTTAGGCTCATGACTAGTCCTGTTCTGTATGTTTCTTGAATTCCTTGAATCTTTAGAATTGCTGTGAGTCTCTTGAATTGCTTGATTGTCTAGAATTTCCTTGAATTTCCATAATTTCATCAGACATTAGGCTCATGACGGGTCCTGTTCTGCATGTTTGTTGAATTCCTTGAATCTCTAGAATTGCTTTCAGTCTCTTGAATTGCTTGATTTTCTGAAATTTGCCAGAATTCTATCGTAGTTAAGGCTTGTAATCTAATATCTTATGTATGTCTGTTGGGTTGGTTGATTTTCTCGAATTTCCTTGAATTGCGAATTCGTGGATCCTAGGGGTATCTCAAAAAAAATCTTTCTGTGACGTAAAGATTATACTAAAAGACCAATTTAGTATTTTATAATCTTTTACATACTAATCAAATCAATAGTTTCAAGTTGAGCACACTATCCATCTAACTCGCTCGAAAGTATATGCTTCTATAGAAAGTAGAAAATGTATTAAGAGAGACAATAAGTGAATATTTTGTCAAAAGATATTTCTCTTATCTTCATTTTGTTGTCAACCTTTTGAGTACTCAACCACAGTAGCATGAAAATCTCAGTTCTAAATGATTGATATCTTTCCTGAAGTTTTAGAAGAGTCGAAACAATGAATTGCAACGGCGAACATATAATATGCGCAAGCGTCGATCTCTGGTGAAGCCGATGTTAATTACTACTACCACAGGTTATATCCTAGCAGCTTATGGTCCTTATTATCGGATTCATCAAACAACGATGCATCTATCCAGAAAGATATATTGGTTAACAATAAAGATGGCATTTTAAATTGGATTGATGAACATGACATCGTAGTCGTCGATCACGGTTTCCGAGATAGTACTGGAATGATGCGAGCCTTAGGGCTTGATGTATGTATGCCAGACTTTCTAAATGGTCGCCGTCGATTTGATGCACTTGAAGCCAATCGATCACACTTTATCAGCAAGATTCGTTAGGCTGTCGAATCGGCTAATGGTCGGGTGAAGTATTTCAAATGGTTAAACCCTATAATTCAAATCTCAACAATTCAGCAAGTACGTGATTATTTACAGATTGCTTGTGCTCTTATTAATGCTTATCGTACTACTGCTATATCTTCATTTTCGAATGATGATCAAATTGCTACTAAGATGTTAGCGTGTCTTCATGAACCAAATTTACTTCGTACACGTATTAACAATGAAATTCTACATTGGATGACCAATGATGCCTCAAACATTATCAATTTCTGTGTACTTACAATCGATCAAATTCGAGTTATCATCGTCGGTATGTAGTGATATTATATTTATTGTGCACAGGCTTAGATTGAAGTAATTAGCCCAGAAT